TAATTTATTATTGTATCACCGTTGCGTGCAAACTCCATGCCCAGATAAGTCTCAATCTCACCAAGGTCAGTCATGGTAAACTTTTGCTGAAGGAGAGCCTTGGTCTGATCGAGGATGAGGCTGCTACTGGCAAACATCAGGAGGTCATCGACATAGACGGCGATCCAAATGGCATCGCGGCCATTGTTGAGAAAATAAACACATCGGTCCTTGAGGCAGCGAGTAAACTTCATCTCCGTGCACAGCTGGTGGTCGAGCATCTGGTACCAAGCACGTGAAGCTTGCTTGAGGCCATAGACAGCGCGGTTGAGCTTGCCATGAGTGTAGCCATTGAAGTACTGCTCGAGACCTTTGGGCACGGTGATGTAAATGTCCTCCTCGAGTGGAGCGTTGAGAAAGGCAGTCTTGACATCCATCTGGTGGATGATGAAGCCATAGTCGACAGCAAGAGCAATGAGGGTACGAATGGTCACCATGTTGGCAGTGGGCGAGTAGGTTTCGTTGTAGTCGATGCCATAGAGCTGCTTGAAACCTTTGGCCACAATGCGTGCCTTGAAGGTGCCATCATGCTTGCGAGCAAAGACAACACGAAGGTCGAGGGGCTTGATGTGAGCTGGAAGGTGATCTAGTCCTTGGATGACGTTGTGCTCGTGAAAGGAGTCAGCCTCCTTCTCAAGGGCACGGGTCCAGCTGTCAGCATCAGGACTGTGCATGGCTTCCTTGACGGTAGCAGGCAGCTTGTTGTAGTTGTCGGTGGTGGTGATGTTAGCGCTGAAGTGAGGATGGTCAAGGAGAAGAGGGTCAGTGTCGTCGTCGAGGTCATCGGTAACAATAATGGTAGTGGTAGTAGTAGTGGAGGTAGTGGAGTCAGCAGAGTCAGCAAAATCAGCAAAATCAGCAGCAGAAGTAGTAGGTTCGTCGTGGTCAAGGTCGTCAAATTGGTCGTGTTGAGGTGGTACAGTTGCATTCTCCCCTTCACCTCGAGCACGGGGAACAACTTTGACGTGGATGGTCTCGATGATAGTGTTGGTGTCAGGGCAGTAGACCTTGTGAGAGAGTGAAGTCGGCGAAAAGCCCACATAAATACCGTGGCGGGCCTTGGGACCGAGCTTGCCACCACGGCGTAGCGGGTCAAAGGCAAAAGCGTCGGCGCCAAAGGGGTGCAAGTCGCGGATGTCATGGGGCTTGATGCCGGTGAGGAGCTCATAGGCACAATAGCCATTGAGGTGTTCCTTGGGGCGGATGTTGATGAGGTACTCGGCGTGCTTGGCAGCAAGGGCCCAAAAGGATGGGTCACGGCCCGAGTCGTGAAGGAGCAGGGCCATGGTATCTCGAAGTTCGCGGAAGACGGTTTCGATGGCGCCGTTCATTTCGGGAGTATAAGGTGGCGAGTGGCGCCAAACACAGTTGAAGTGGCGCAGCTGTTCGCGAAAGGCCAAGGAGTGGTAGGGCCCGTCATTGTCGCTCTGGATGATGGTGCGCTTCTGCATGTCGGCTTCATCAATGCGAATGGGGATGGGCGAGTCGCGAATCAGGCGAGCAAAGCTCTCAGCCAGAGCTCTCTTTATGTGTCTAGTGGTTAAAATGGCCGTATCTCTGGTTATACTTAGTCGTTTTTCATGATTTTTGTTTCCTTGTGCGTGATTCTTCGCGCTTGTACTTTTCGGCATGATAGAAGCCGATGAAAATGTCTTGTTCTCTTGTGTTGTTTTGCGTGCCGTCGTGATTTTGATGTCGGGGTTGCACAGCTTTGCTTTCAGCTCTGAGGTTCAAACACCTAATTTATTATTATCAGCCAGATCGTCCTTGCGACAGACAGGGTCGAGCCAGAGAAAGCCCGTCGCCACATCCCGATAGGCAATGATGTACCTCGCTCCTTTGATACTAGGGGAGCGAAGCGGGCCAAACATGTCAGAAGCGACCAGTTCACCAGGCATGCGGGGCGTGCGGTCGCGATCGAAGCCAGCCAGAGCAAGGCGCTTAGCTTTGAAGAGGTTGCAATCGTTGCAGTTGAGGATGGCCTTGACGTCCGAGGTGTCGTCAACTTGCTGCAGCATGGAGCGCAAAACTTCGCGCGGCGGGTGGCCAAGAAGACGATGCATCTGCGAAGCAGACACAACATGGGCATGCTGTTGTTGCTGGTGGTGGTGCTGGTGGTGCAGGTGGTGAGCTGGGAGAAAAGAAAAGAAAAACAAGCCACCACTGGCCGCATCACGAGGTGCAGACCAAGTGACATCAGCATCACTCAACAAAAATGTAGACGAGTCAGACAAGGACACGACAAAACCAGCATCAACAAGGGCAGAAAGCGAGACAATGTTGTGAGAAAAAGAAGGCACATAAAAGCAACGATCAAGAACAATGGGGCGCAAGACACCATCAACATCAGTCACGAGCAAAGACACAGAGCCGACAGCTTGAGCAGCCGTCACGCCGTTGGCAGTCACAATGGTCTCAGAGCTTGGAGTATTAAAGGCATAATAGATTGTAGCATGGGAGAGAGCGACTCAAAAGTCAGACGCCTAAACCACTAGGCTATCAACAGTATAACTAGTACGTTGATGTGATGCATATTGTCGCATATATACAAGAATCTGACATCACTCTCTAATAGTCCCCCTCAACGTGCGAGTGGTCTGTTGTCCATCCCTCACGATGAAGTTGACCCAATCCTTTCATGCCCTCTGGCGGATCATCCTTACAAGGATGGCGTTCAAGATCGGTGTGCTCCGCGACACACACCTGCAGTGCTTTTTCAAGTATGCAACTGCTACACCTGGCTCATTTTATATTTGGCTCCCCCTTTTTTTATAGTCTGCTGGCTATGCAATAGCGCTTATGCGACTTTGAGTTGTACTGGCTATGTAATAGCGCTTACGCAACTCGAGCTCAGGTCTGCACAAGTAGTCTTGATGCGGGGTTCGAATCCCAAGTCAAGACTGACAAGTGGTAGCGCGTTCGAGGCCCATAACCTATTAAAGGCATAATAGATTGTAGCATGGGAGAGAGCGACTCAAAAGTCAGACGCCTAAACCACTAGGCTATCAACAGTATAACTAGTACGTTGATGTGATGCATATTGTCGCATATATACAAGAATCTGACATCACTCTCTAATATGGAGCAAGATCATGAAATAAATCACGATCAACAAAAAAATGAGCAGTGGCACCACTGTCCACCAATGCACGATTGCTGGTGGCCAGGTTGGTGGCTGACAAACAGGTCAAGAACAACTCGTGGTGACGATAATGTGTTTGTGCGGGCGAATAATTCACAGCAGGAGCAGCGGGCAAATGGGAAGGAGGAGCAGCAGGTGCAGCGGGCAAATGGGAAGGGGGAGGAAGAGACAAGGTCGCGGTCATGATGGGGGCCGCAAACTGCTTGCCATTGTGCTTCTCGTACGCGCGCTTCTTGCGGCACTGAGATGCATCGTGGCCATAGATGCGACAAAATTCACAGTTGGCATTGACGCGCTCACTCTTTGGGTGGGGCCCGTGGTGTATACCATGGCGACCACGGCCACGACCACGTCCACGACCGCGTCCGCGACCACGTCCACGGCCATGCCCGTGCCCGCGCCCTCCACCATGCTCAACAGCAAAGGCACCCTGTTTAGGTTCGGCGCGGGCACCAGCAGGCGTGAGTTTGTGCAGGTTAGCAGTCACCACCTCAAAGAACTTGCCCAAATCCCAAGACGGTTGATACAGGTTTGCAATCACGTCCCTGAGTTTCGAAGGCAGGCCATCAACCAGCTGGGCGATGACAAGGGTTGCCGAGTAGGCGCCCTCAATACGAAGGGTATCGACGGCGGCAGTGATGGAGGAGCGGTAGACAGGAAAGTCGTCGGCCGTACGGATGCGTTGGTCGCGAAGAGCCTGAGAGGCTTGGGTAATGTCGGACGAG